CTTCTCGTCTGCCACGATTTCGCCCTGAATATTTCAATTACGATGCTTGGCGAACACGATCGGTGAATCGCACACGCTGGCAAACCTCGCGTTATCGTTCTCAAGAATCCCAGTTACCGATAAACTGAAATCTACTTTCGTTTGGGATGTTGACCGACTGTTGTCCGAATTTCTGCACCCAATAACAATAAACGACCGGTCTACCGACAAGAGAGTAATAACGGAGCGGTTGCATCGGGCAGAAACGAGGCTGGTGTACGTGTAACAAACGCGCAATGGCTCGTAGAGCGGTGTTGCTGGCATGCAGAAACGTTGTCGTGCTTCCGGTTAAATCGGTCCCTACAAACTGGAGCACCTGTTAGCGGAACGCCACAGTTGTCTATTCCCGCGTAGGATTCGGAGCTGGTCGCTTTTCGAAAACGTCGCGGCTCGTCAATCAGAAACTTGTTGGTCATTGGCGTACCGCCGATTGTAACCGTGAACTGCGAAGATCGACGTGGTGCGTGTATATCGTACACCGATATTTCCGATCGCGTGTCCTACGATGCCTCGCCGCGAGTTACGATCGACGATAGCTCGTTGGCCAACCACCCCTCCACCTCCTTCTCTTCCTCCTCTCGTCTCTCGGCATTCGAAGATCAAAATGCGATGCTTGCAAATGAAACGAGAATAGAAACGGGGCGCCGCACCACACCGAACATCGTCCGAATCGCCATTCGAAACTGCCTACCTCGTGGAATTCGATTCGCTTTGAATTTTTAATTGGAACGATTGGAATCCAAGCGATCCGGAAATTCAGCACGGGTGTGGTGTTAAATAAGTCGGACCGATCGGAGAGCCGGCTCGCTAAATCGATGGCAAATGGGAACTGGCCGAGGGAAATCGAATAAATTGATACCGTCGAGGAAAGAGCTATCGATTTCTGATTTACGAATCGCCTGGCAGTCTTCGAAAACAGTTGCAAATTCCGATCCACTTCAACTCCTATGTGTTTTCACCATCCGCTATTTTTCTCGATTTTTGTTTCCTTCTGTCTGCTTTTTTCGTATTTCCCACTTCTCCTCTCGTCTTTCGAGTATTGTTTAACGGCAAAGCTTGCGCACGTGCAAAGAGAGCAGCACGTCGTTTTACGGCCGTTTCGTACTAATGGAGTTTCAGCTTAACGCTCGGCAAAGTTCGTCGAAGAACTGCCGCGGACATGTTAAACGATGACGATGGCGAGCATCCGATCAAAGTTCGCAAGCCGATATCGCGATCGCAGTTCTATTTTTTCGCCTGTAAGTTTGTCGGACGCGCGATCGCTTTCCACGTACTTTTCAACAGCCGCCGAACGAGCCGCTAACGAAGCAACTTAGTCCACAAAATGGCTGTTCGTTATCGGTCGCTCGTAAATCGAGAGGCGCGAATAAACCTCGTTCTTCTTTAATCGCCGCGTTCACGCGAAACGGTACTTTTAGCGATGTAACCTTCCTTCCAGCTAATGCTTCAGACTTTCTCGAGCTTTCTCTAGCCGCTACGTTCTTAAACTAAAATTTTCGCGCTGCTTCAACCAGTTTCACCTGTCAGAAGCGCCTAGCGTGACGCCTAAATCCGTCGCGACAGTTTTAGATCGGGTCGACACGGAGCAACGCGATCGACCGCCTGAAATTAAACGAATCTGTAAAGCTAACGATGCCACGAACCATTGAAATCCAACAACGTTCGGTGGATAACGATATGGACATAGCTACGAGAGAGAAAGATTCGCCGTGAATCGTCTCTCTCTCTCAATGAATTCGGTTCGCGACATCTTCCAAGGGACTGCGTGAGAAAATATGGTTTCGCGGGTTCCCGGACAAAGAAAGCAATATAATCGCAGGATCGCGACTTTTTCAAAGAATGACCAGAGACGAGAGTTGATATCGCGAATATTTTGTAATTAAACAGAAATAGAGACCACGAGCCGTTGATTCATCTGCTCGTGTTGTGGCGGAAATGTTTCGCAATTAAACGAGGTTGCATCACCGTGGCAACGAAACGTCGAGAGGAGAGAGACAGAGAGAGAGAGGAGAGGAAAAAGAGGAACGCGGAGTGAAACTCACCGATAGATCTAAATCCCGTGGGACGTTGTTACGAGCCTCGTGATTATTAATGGCAACGGCCGATAATGATTTCAGGCGAATTTTTATTCATCCAGATTTTTATGTGGCGATCGCTCGCGCTTTTCTCTCGTCAAATAACCACGCGACGCTGTAGCAGGAACGCGAAATGGTCGTTTCCCCGGGGAAAGGTAGCGACAGTGCGAAGTTGGTGGCCGTGCTGCGACCCGAAAAAACTTTCTGAAACAGCGCCGCGCGACAACAGTTCTATCCATCAACGAGCGAGCGTAATTTTTTGAAATACAGCCAGTAATTACTTGAAATGTATGCAAATACTTTGTCGCGCGACGCGGCTGATAAATCTGCCGGGATCCAAACTGCAAAACGACGCGACACGCCACCACCCTTGCGCTCCCTATCACGGGCAAAAATATCGCAGCTCTGCCGGATGAATGGAAAAAGCCGCGTCGAATCGCGATCGTTTGAATTAGTATTTGAAAGCTGGGTCGCGCGAGTTTCAACGTATTCACCGGGTTCGTGATATTTAAGTTAAATACAAGCGAAGAATAACGTAGCAACCGGCGCGAGACTGTATTTTTCCTGGCGCTGTGTGATTCGGTGTGGCCTGGTGTGTAGCGTAGTCTCGCCTGTTTCCACCTGAAAGCCACGTACACACATACATAATATATTTAAAAAGGTATCACAGACCGCGCGTATGTAACACGCGCGTCGCATAAGTATGTATTCGACCCGGTTCACCGACTATGCAAGAAAATGCACGGGTAAAGAGGACGGGAAAAAAATGTGACCGAGGCGGAATAAAGAAACGCGACGAGCTGAAAACAGTGAAAGAAACGGCGCAGGCACTGCCGAGTCGAAGAGATCGAGAGAGCCAACCGAGAGAGGAGAGAAGCTCGGGGAAACAATCGTCGAATGTACGTGTTGCGCGTAAATTCGATCGCGCCTTTCTGTACGCGAGTACGAGAAGAAATTGAAAAAGGATCGCGCAGGAAACGAGTGCGGAGTCACGCGTCAGAGACCGAACGAACAACGCAAATGGAGACAGGGAGCGAGGAGAAAGCACGAAACGAAGGCAAGGTAAGACGAGGCACAGGGCCAGCAGATAGGGGAGGATTACTCGCACTCGAGAGCTAAGAGCACGAGGAAATAAAGGCTCGCGCGAGCTCGTGAAACGCCACTTTCTTCGAAACTTTTTTCCACGGAAAACCACGTGCTCGTCGCAAACAAGAAATACAATGGCTGCGAAAGTGCAACGCGGAAACGAATTAGACTGCCGTTAAAAAGCTGCTCGGCGAAACGTCGTAAAGTAGCCGAAGCAGTTGCGTGGAAAGAATCTGATATTATTCCCGAGGGTTATCGCTCCGCTTCAAAGAAACCACCTTGTGTTTCTTAGGACGATCGGCGACGATTCTGTTCGAACACCGTCTCCACGCTACTCTCGCTAAAACGTTCCCGTTCGCGTTCTAATAGCAAAGATAGATCTCTCCTACAACTTAATTAACCCTTAAACTACCCGCTAACCTTTCGTTTTGTCGTCGATCTTTCGAAAGACCGTGAAACGAATTTGCCAGCTGGCAGGTCTGTTTGGCTAAACTCGACATCGGCTCGTAATGAGATTTTGAGGCGACCAACGCCAGCGCAAGTATTGGTAGCGTTCCTTAGCATAAGAAAGTTTCCTAATCAATCAATTTCTCGTTTACACTACGAACGTCAACGTCAGCCAGCGTTTCGTAGTTTCGCTGTTGTTCGAGCCTCGGTTTAGCTCGATAGCGCAACGCGAAATCTTATTATCGGGCTACGTGGTTCCTTCGTTTCCGACAGTCGTCGTCGTCCTCGGTACCGGCACGAAACGTCAGTAATGAGTCGACTATCCTATGATTAAGGTAAGCGGTATTTGACAAGACGGAACGAGCCGTATCAGTCGGTAGCTTCTTAACTTCAACCTCTTAATACCTTAATCCGCTTACGTCATGACCAGATTTTACGTGCTCGCCAGGATTACTTCGTATACGTCGCTCTAATCGCGCCATTTTATTCGGCTTCCTTCCTTTAATTTCGTCTTTCAATTATCTTTACGATATCCTTTCCTGGCTGATGTAGTATGGGAAATTTAATTGGATAGATACCGGAAATAACTGTCTTTCGTTTAAAAGGAGATGACCGGCCGATCGCGGCAAACGTTCGCGTCGCGAACACTGTCAAAGTGAATGGATTACCAACGAATTCGAATTGTAACTGTATCAATGCTAATCCACGACGCGGTAGAACGCTGTTGCACAGCTGCTCCCATAATTCAAAGACGAACGAAAAAAAGAAAGAGAGAAGAGAAAAATACCCGCTCGTGATTCGATTCAGGGTGGTATTTACCGAATAGCCTGCAATAAAAGCGAATGCGTTACCTCTCTTTCTCTTTTTCTTTTTTTTTTTTTTTTTTTTTT